GATAAAATGCTTAATAAATTTACATGAAAGGCAGTGATAAGGCCAGTCTTCATAAGAGGAATATAATAATAATACCAACTAACATTTATATGGCACTTACTATGTGACAGTGACTGTGTAAAGTGCTTTATAATTATTATCTCATTTAATCCTTACAATAACCCTGAAAAGTAGGTGCTATTATTCTATTTTATATATGAGAAAACTTAGGCAATAGCCATTATATGACCCAATGAAAAGTAAGTATGGCTCTAATATACAAAACAAGGAAATGGAGAGGTGAGGCAATTATTCAGAGGATTAATCTGCTTTTCATCTTACAAAAAAAAAATCAGACACTCATTATTGTGAGAAATGTATTTGAAGATCTGAAATTCAGTCAATCAAAATGAATTTATTAAATACCTACTGTGTTCCAGACATTGTGTAGATACTGGTGAATACAAAGATAGAGAAGAAAAGTCTTTGCCCTCAACAAACATACATTCTATAGGGGAGAGCAATATGTACATATATAGGTATATATAAGGCATATACTAAATAGTTACAAAGTAATTTGGCCGGAGGACTCTATCAACAGCTAGCAAATACATCAGTGTTTTGAAAGAAACTAGTAATTCTAAGAATTGAAGCTACAGAAGGCATAGGGGAGAGTATACAGTGATTCAATTCATTAGATTATTTATTTTTCATGAACCTGAGCACATAAATTGTATATATTTTTTTTATTTTGAGTGAAGAAGTAGCAAAACAAACCCAAACCAAATCCAGGCAGAATGCAACTTTACAAGCCCAGCAACCTCCACATGAAGTTCATGTTACTTTGAGCCAGTTGGAAACAGTGACAACTTGGGAAGATGTTTGTGAAAGAACATCATAGCATAATGGAGATTGCAGACAGGATGGATCTTTGCAAATCACCTGGGCCAACCTCTTCCTTGTAAAAGTGAGGAAGTTGATAGCACAACAGATATTATCATTGACTATTCCACTAATTTCACTATCCCTGGGTTTTTTTTTCCCCCATCTATCATTCATACTCTAGCATGACATTTTCCATTTCCCAATCTTGACCTTATAGCTAATCGGTTCAACTATCCCATGCTCTCCAATTCCTTACATTCATCCTATTAAAACTCATTCCTTGCCAAACTAAAATGCTAGTTTACTCCAACCATTCAGCTTTTATTTTATTATCTGGACATCATTGCAGAAATCATACATCTTGGCTGTCTGGGCCTATTACATTTTTATGTTAGCTAATCACAACTGAGCCCTAATGGATGCAGTTGAATCCTTTTGTTTTTTACTGATTAGCCTACACAGCATCTTTGCCAAATGCCATTTTAGCTTTTCTAGTCACCTCTCCCTCCTTAAGAAAAGCCCTTACCCCATATTTTACTGAGAAAATTGATACCACGCACCACGAGCTCCCTCTTATCTTTTATTCTATACCTCATATCTCAATATCATCTCCATTTTCTCCTTTACTTGATCTCATCCCTTCCTTTCTCATCATAACTCAAAATGAGAAGTTTCTTCTTTGATTATTCCCCTCCTGCCAACTATCAAATCTCTTTATTCATTGGTTTCTTCCCTGTTGCACACAAATGCTCAAATCTCCCTCATCCATAGATAATCCTTTACCTGATGATGCTATTCTCTCAAATACATGTACATATCTCTCCTTCCTTTCATAGCCAAATTCTTAGAAAAAGCCATCTACAGTGATTGTTTATACTTCCTTAACTCCCACTTACTTCTCAGTCCCTTACAATCTGTCTTCTGACATCACCACTTGACTGAAATTGTTCTCTCCAACAGAATCAGTGATCTCTTAACAATTAAAAAATCTATTTTTGTTAGTACTTACCCTTTTTGACTTCTCTACAACCTTTGACATGATTGACAGCTTCCTGCACACTCCCTTTCCCTGGCCTGAATTTTCATTACATTCATTGCATTATATCACATGTGATGAGCATTCATTACATGCTAACTTCTGGTTCTCTTCCTACCTATCTAACAGCTCCTCAGTTTCTTGTAATACACGATCAACTATATTCTTTCCCCCATGTATGGGTGAACTAGAGGTCTCTTCCCTAGTCCATGTCTTTTTCTCTCTTGGTATTCTCCTTTTTAGTAATCTCATCAGCCCCTATATGTTTAATGATCATCTCTTTTCAGATGATTCCAACATGTATATGCCCAACACTCATCTCCCTGTTGAGTCCCTATACCATATTAATAGCTTTCCTGCTGGATATCTTTACCTGGATATCATATAATATTTGTCTCAAACTCAATATTTCCAAAATAAGATGTACTTTATTTCCCTCCTCCCAAATTCCAGAATTTTGTCAAAGGTTATCAACATCTTTCCAGATACCAACATAAACTAGTTATGAGTCATTCTTAGTTTTTCCCTATCTCTCACTCTACTCATTCAATCAATTGCCAATTCTTGTTGATTCTACTTAACATATCTTTCATGCACTCCCTTCTCTATATTAATAGTCACCACATTAGTTTGTACTCTCCCTTATCACCTCTTACTTGGGCTATTGAAATTGCCTCCAATTATTCTTCCTGCTTCCATTTCCCCCCACCACCACCACCAATATATCCTTCACATATCTACCAGATTGCTGTCACTGAAACACAACTCTGTCACTTCTCTGCTCAAGATGCTTCAGTGGCTCCTGATTGCTGCCAAGATAAAATGTAAACTCCTCTGTCATTCATGTCCTTCACCATCTGACCCAAACCCACCTTTCCTGATCAGTTTCACATTGTTATCTTCCATGTTCAAGCCATCGGCCTAAGTATGGTTTCCTGTAAACATTCTATCTCTCAACTCTGAGACTTTTTATCAGGCTATCTGCCATGACTTTAATGCTTTCTATTTTCATTTCCACACCGCGGAATCCCTAGCTTCATTCAAGAATAGCGCAGATGTCACCTCCTATAACTGGCCTTTTTTTATTCCCCCAGTTGTAAAGTCTGCCCCTCTGACACTAGATACTACTTTGTATTTATTCCATATTTATGTTATATTTACTTATCTTTGTATAGGTTGTATCAACCAGGGAAATGTCAGCTCCTTGCAAGGATTATTTTGTTTTTTACTATGTCCCTAGCACCTACCACACTAGGCAGAAATCAAATGCTTGCTAAAGTAGCCAAATTAATGGCGAAAATAGGACAAGAACCCAGTTCTTCTGACTGCCTTTATTTCACTATATCAATTTCTTCTTTGAATAGACTGCTATTTAAGTCAAGGGTGGGGAACCTGCAGGCTCAAGGCCATATGTAGCCTTCCACATCCCTGGGTGCAGCCTTTTGACTGAGTCCAAGATTTACGAACAAATCCTTTTATTAAGGGGATTTGTTCTGTGGTGTTTGGATTCAGTCAAAGGGCCACACTTGAGGACCTAGAGGGCCACATGTGGCATCAAGACCACAGGTTCCCCACCTCTGAATTGTCATATTGTTTCAGAAAGGAAATGAGTGTTTAGCTAATTAGATCATATTGCTGCAAAAGTTGTGAGACTTGACAGGTAGTATAACATCCTTTTTTGTCCAACAAATGCCCAGTTATAGAACTGACAAGTAAACAACAAGTTTCCTGAACTGTGACCACTTACTGATTGTTTAACTTGGCTTTTACAGACAGTAGCCCAGAATACCAGGCCCAGAGAGAGCAGATCAAGCCTTCTGAAAGCGGCCTTGACACATGCAAATCAATGTACCAATGGATTTCATTCAGATCTCAAAATAGGGCAAAGAAAGAACGTCCCAAAACAACACTGTCACCCATAGAGTTAGACATAGGAGTTTGGAGGGAAGATGTGGGATCACAAAACATGTACACACACACACACACACACACACACACACACACACACACACACACACTTACATAATTCCCAGCCACTCAGTGATTAATGCTAGATGACGTGCTCTGAACTTTTCGTTCAGATAGGTTCTTTTGCCTTCAAACCTCCTGGCAATGAATGCCTTGTGACCTGCAGATTTCACTCTGAATAACCATCATCTGAAGCAACCCTGACATTGTCTAGATAACCATTTATTTTCCTTACTGTTCTGTTCATGGACTAGTTTGTTTAGAAGCATCAGGGCAGCGTTTATTTATTTAACTTATCTTAAATAAGAGGTTAAGACACAAAGGAGATAAAAAAAAATAATCCCACAGATCCCAACACCTTCCATCTCACAGAGGGAAGGCATAAAAGCAAATGAATTTTTCTTCCTAGCCAAATAAAACAGCGAGAGGCAGTGGAGGTATATAGTAGAGCCAATAATGAAAGAGAGAGAGAGAGAGACAGAGAGAGAGAGAGAGAGAGAGAAACAGAGACACACACACACACAACACACACACACAGATGTACACTGCTTAAAGCTCTTAGTTTTCTCCTTTCTCATTTTGACCCAGGTTTCACTTGCCCTGGACCAGAAAAAGGTTCCAGGGCCCAGAGAAGAGGGAGCTGTGCTGGTGCTGAATGCTTTTAGGAAGCCAGTCACGGACTTCAGGATTGCACCCACATCACGGAACCCAACAACCGGCGTTTCCCCGTCACCCTCATCCCTCCAAGCCGGCTCGGCTCTTGGGACACCGCTCCAGATGTACCAGATGTAGGCGAGACAACCTAGCTTCAGCTCATCTTTCTCCCAGCCTCCCAAGGGGCTTCCCCCGCCCTGGCAGAGACTTGACCCTCAACCACTAACAAGCCAGCTGACAGCTCCCCTCTTTACCAGTCACACAGAAAGGCAGCTGACCCAGAAGAGCCCCTCCCCTACTCCGCCATCTCCACGTCCAACCCCAAGAACCCCACCCCTGCGCTTGAGGTAGGGACTGAGACAGTGGAGCCCCTAGCTCAGGTCCTCTCCAGAGAAAACAGATCCTGTCCCATATACCCCCCCTGATCGTAGAGACTTGGTACTCACGAGCCCAGACCCATTCAGCACATAAGACTCACCCATTCCAGAGCTCGCAGGAAAGCCAGGGGTTCCTTCAGTACCCGAAAGGTCCCCGAAGAGGCCAGCTGCAGATGGATTGGGGGTCGGCGGGAGGAAGAGAGAAGAGATAACAGGGGTGAAGGGTTGGGTAGCTCCAATGCCCCGTTCATTTACCCCCTCCCTGGCCCTCGCCCTCACCTCAGCCCTCTCCCTCATCCTCTCCCTAGCCAGATTCGGCAGCAGCTGGCCAGAGCACGGGGTGGCGGTGAGGGGTGGGGGGTAAGGTTTTGCCTACCTGATTCACGGAGTCCATGGCTGCTCTGCTCTTTGCCCCTCTCCAAACACCCACCCCTACTTTAAAAAGAGGCAGGGGTGGGGGTAAAGTTCAATCTTCCGGCTCACACACCCGTTGATTCCGGGGCTCTGAAAATTGGGGCAGCTCGGGAACCAACTCCCTGGGAGAAGGCACTAGCGGGCAGGAGGGTAGGAGGGCAGGTGGGCTGGCAGGCGGCCTTCCTGCGAGCTGGAGCTGAGGCGCGCTCTGCTGAGCTGAGCTCGCAGATTAGCCTCACTCTGCTCTGTGTGCAGGGAGCAGCGGCGCGCGCCCGCCAGAGACCAGAGGGGATGAGTAGGTTGGGGGTATGGGCTCCCGAAACAGCCACCAAAACACAGGGGCCGTCCCCGAGCCGGCTGTCATTGGCTGGCCAGGCGCCTGTTAGGGAAGGGCGGGGAGGGAGAGAGGAAGAGTCCGCCGGGATTGGTGAGGATTGGGCCGCGCGGGCGCATGGAGAAGCACAGGGGCGCTGGGCAAACTTTGGGGCCTGAGTCTGGGAGGGGGGCAGATATGCAGAGCTGGATGGAAGACAGGGAGGGAGGGGTCAGGTAAATGGCGCTTCTCTCTAGCATGGGGACAGAGGGACAGGGTGAAGGTGAGGGAGACGGTGAGGGAGAAGAAAAAGACGAGAGGGAGAGGAGAGGGAGAGGGAGAGAGACAAATAGGAACAGGGTGAAGGTGAGGGAGACGGCGAGGGAGACGGTGAGGGAGAGGAAAAAGAGAAGAGGGAGAGGGAAAGAGAGGGAGAGGGAGCCATAGCGAGGGCAAAAGACTCTCCCAGCTGAATTTGAAAGTGTTCTTTGTTCCTGAATACCAAAAGAAAAAACTCACTGTTCATTTGGTCTGGGGAGATGAAGGAACATTAAGACCTCGGACTTATAGCGAGGTGTCCTGGAAGAAATGCTGGATTTGGAGTCAGCGGACGTGGGTTCGAATGTGGATTCAGCTACTTATTACCTGTGTCAATGTGCAAATCATTTAATCTCTCCCGGCCTCAGCCTCTCATGTAAAATGAGGAGGTTGGATGCCACTAGCCCCTTTCAATTCTAAATCTATTATCTTATGAGAGAACAGCACTCCTCCTTGCCAATTAACTCTGAACAGGCCTCCTAGTCTGCCCTAAAAATGTCTTCAGCTTGTTTTCCTGGGGCTTGGAATCTTTTATGAATATGTAGTGTAGTGTCTTGGAAAGATTCCTGGACTTGGTGTCAAGAGAGACCTGGAATCAAATCCTGCCTCCCACACTCACTAGAAGTGCAACCCTGGAGAAGTCACTTTTACCCCTGCAGGCACCAGTCTTACAAAGTGGGGCTGACAATAGTATCTATCTCAGGGGCTTGATGAAAGACTTAAATGAGATGATGTGTGTAAAATACAGTCAAATCACAGTGGAGACATGGATAAAGAATGAGCTTGGAAGCCTGGAAAACCTAAAACTCCTGCTTCTGACTCATCCTGGCTGTGTGACCCTGGGCAAGTCAACCTCTCTGTGCTCTAGTCTAGGCAACTCTTAAGACTATCAGTTGCACCCAAGGTACTCACCTGCATTGGTGGTGGTGGTGGTGGTGGTGGGGATTTCTTCACCTGGGAATTTCCTCTGCAGTAAAATCAGACTTCTATGTAAAATGCTTAACAAACCGTAAAGCACAATGTAAATGTCAGCAATTAAGTAATTCTGGGCACAAATTTTCTTCTCAACCTGCTAGCCACTATGCTGTGTATCCGCCTTTCTTCTCTCCCCCTTGGAGCAGGTTCCGCATAAGAAGTGGTCTCCAAGCAACACAAATAGACGGCCCATCTGTTTACTGCTAAGCTTAGCCAAAAAGGTTGTGTGTGTGTGTGCGTGTGTGTGTATGTGTTTGGAGGGGTTTTTTTTTAGATGAGATGCAGCACAAAAACAATTTTCCAACCAGGAGGTGACAGGGAAATTTGGGTAAGGATGGGTGATCCCATATCTTCTGTCATAGCATGAGATCTGCTCATGGGATTTGTTACAGGGAAATTGGAAACTCAGAGAGTGCGAACAATGCAAGGGTCATTCAATCAAGTGGCCTAGGTGACACATTCCTTCTTCCATACCCATATGGAATCTACTACAGAATGAAAGTAATATATATTTTTATAAAAACAGATGCTTATTCTACCCTATGTATGAAGCAACTGAGCCTCAGTTTCCTCATTTGTAAAAAAGGGGGGCTATACTAGATGGTCTTTGATTTCTCTTTCATGTGTAAATCAATGATTCATAATCTGCTATATCACTGCATGAACTTCATCACTTCAATGGGTCCGTGTTCTCCTCCATGAGGGTACTTTCTTTAGTGGTATAGCTTCATCCCATATATCTACACTTTCTTATCTTCTGGGATTCTGGTTTAAAACCTCCCATTATTGCTTATTATTAATGGATCTACCCACCATGGTAGAGGGTCTGTTAGTACTCCATGGGCACCAGTGCAGCACTGGTCCATCTTTTTTCTGTTATTCTCAGTATGTAACCAGCCCATCCTATTTTTTGCACTCAGGTCACCCTTGGCAATATGCTATACCCTACTCATTTGATTCACCTACAGCCTCAATTTTCCATTGACCATGAGGTTCTATGGTTTTCAGTCCTAGAATATCCTAAAAAGAACGCTTTTTTCAAAAAGAAAGGGTTCATGTTAAGCATAATTGAGGAGGTTTCAGGAACAAGATAGATTTAAGATATCTGCAAACTGCCTTATTTCCAGAACATGAACAAACGTATCAAGAACTTTACAGTTTAGGACTACTTCTCAGACCTAAGTAATGCCTGAGAGATGGATAGATAGATTATAAATATCGATATGTGTGTATACACAAATATGTATGTATATATGTATGTATGTCTATGAAAAATTTCCTTATTAGTCATTTAAAAGTTTTCTGTACTGATGCTTTCTGCTCTGACGTTCCCATGTAATATGGAGGTGACCATAGGTTCTTAAAGTTTACGACAACCTTCCTGTCACTTACTATGTCTGGGGCCATGTACAAATAACATCCTTTCTGGGTCTCAGACTCCTCTTTTGTAAGATGAGGAGGTTAGATCCTTTCTCCCAGATTCTAACAAAGACCCACCAAGAATACCCTAATCAAATAATCAATGAGCATTGAAGGCACTCACTTTGTGTCTTGCAGTATAATAGGCATTGTAGAAACAAATATGAAGAATGAGACAGTTCCCACTCTGTACCTTGAGTGTGAACCTGGCAATGGATTATTTGTCTTCTGTGTGTAGATGGGGGGATGGAGGATGTCATTGGTCAAGGGATGCCTTTCATATCTGATTACTTCGCCAACATCACATGAGCATTAGTAAAATAATACAGGCTTAGGAAATACCAAGAGTGGAGCAGTAGATAGAAAGGTGGCCCCTGAATATGGGAAGACCTGAGCCTGGATCCAGTCCCATCTCTATATTGACTGTTTGAAGTTGAGCAAACCCTTTAACTTCTTACTTCTGTAGATGGTGCTTTGAGGGTGGGAGTTGCATGGCAGGTGCCTACTTGCATTGGTAGGAGGTGCTTTCTTCTTCTAGAGTTCCCTTTTCTAATGAAATCATAAATCTAGCTCTTATGACAGGAAACATTATTTGCAAAGGTTACCATTTTATTGACACAAACTATTGAGACAAAAACCATCCAGTTCTGAGACTAGATGCTGCTCTTTGGGGGAAATAGTAGGAGAAATGGAAGGGATGATGTTGCCTCCTTCAAAAGACAATTTGGTAAGTTACAGCTACTGTCCAGCTCTCCTTTTCTACCCCCAGGATGTTGAGTTGGCAAGGACCATGGTGGTTATCTACTACTTTAGTATTATCTAGTAAAATCTCCTTGTTTTACAGATGAGGAAACAGGCCAGAGAGGTTAAGTGATTTGCTCAAAGTGATATAGCTAATAAGGGGGCAGGGCTGGGATATTAACTCAGTCAGGTCTTCTGATTCTAAATACAATTTCACCCACCGCCTGCACCACTATTACATGACTTACTGCTTTCTCTTTGCTCATAGTAAGGATATAAGAAGTTATTTTTTTCATTCATTCTATCCCCACTCCAGAATAAGAGAACATCTGAAATGCAAGAGGGCATAGTCTACCATAACAGACCCTTTGGCAATCATTTTAATATGTTTAAGAAAAGGAGGGAGATATAATCATGGATTTAGAATGAGAAAGGATATTAGAGGCTGTCAAGCCCCACTCCCTTTTTTTATAGAAGTGAAAATTAAAGCACAGAGGAAGTTCAGTAATTTACCCAGATCTCAACAACTGAGGCAGGATTTAAGGCCAAGTCTTCCTGACTTCAAGTCCAGGGCTCTGTCTACTACTCCAGGACTCCAACGGCATGGTCTAGAACAATCCAAATACTTCAAAATTGTAAGGATTGTGATTTCATTGAACTATACATTCATTCCACCAATGTAGATCTCAGCTCCCCCAGGCTCCAGAAAATTACATTCCTGTGTTATTGAGATTGAAAAAGTCATCCCTTCATTGACAGCCCTCCAGGGATCAGTGTCTCTGAATCTAGCATTGTTGGTCTTCATGATAGACCTGGGGTCATAAGGCCCATGAGTGAGGCATTGTCAGCAAGCCTGGGCTTGTTTTCTACTGCCATAGTCTTTGAAAATACAAACATGCTTCTACACCCCGATGAGGCATAAAAATAGAACTCCAATCAATCATCTTCAGTAAACATATGTTATCAAATGCACTGCTGTTCAGTCTAGTTCAACTCTTCATGACCCTACGGACTATAGTGTTCATGAAGTTTTCTTGGCAAAGATACTAGAGTGGTTTGCTTTTCCTTCTCCAGTGGATAAAGGCAAACAGAAGTTAAGTGACTTGCCCAGGGTCACACAGCTAATAAGTATCTGAGGCCATATTTGAATTAAGGTCTTCCTGACTCCAAGCCCAGCACTCTATCCACTGAGCCACCTAGCTGGTCCCTCAACCAACTACTTTTTTTTTTTTGACTAGGCAATAGAGTTAAGTGACTTGCCCAGGGTCACACAGCTAGTAAGTGTTATGTGTCTGAGGCTGGCTTTGAACTCAGGTCCTCCTGAATCCAGAGTGGGTGCTGTATCCACTCACTGTGCCACCTAACTGCCCCAACCAATTACTTCTTAAATGCCCTAAGAAGATGCAAGTTTCTTCAGGGCAGGATTTTTCTGTCTTTCCTAAGTCACTAGGACATTGCTTTATACATAATTGTGCTTAACAAGTGTTAAACAGAATTCAATATCTGTGTTTCTTTGTGCCCAGAAGATGACATATCTTTATTTTAGTCTTTATTTTAGGGTATAAATGAAGTATGATTTAAGTCTAATT